TTAGCCAGGCGAATATTTCTAAAATGTTGATGAAGGCAGTTAAGGACATCCTGAGATAGAAACTGTACTAGATCAACTTCTGATAATCTTCTGCTAATTTTGTCAACTATTATCCACATTTCTGTTCTGAAATTAAATAAAAATGTTAATCACTTGTTGGTGAAAAAGTAATCAGGATATTCATTATGAAAACACTTATCCATTACTCTATGCATTTTCATTTATGTAATATATTCCCAATTTCTATACATGTTACTTTGAACTATAATCAAACTTTACAGATTTTTCTTTTATTTATAATCTCGTTCAACGGTTCTTAACCTGGGGATCAGTGAAAAGGTGTCAGAGGGTCTGTGAGCTGCATTTCTGTATAATTTTATTTGATGCATTTAAAAACCCAAAGCTAAGAACAGGTCAGTGGCCGAGGGCTGGGCTCACCGGGCTGCACATAAAAGTATTAGCAAACATTATGATGACATTAAAAAATTACATACATTTATTTAATTAAAAAAAAACAGCTGAATAAAAACAAAAACTATATATTCACCCCGACCACACCAAACTATTTAAATGTCAAGCCATGGGCAGTCTAAAAATGAAAGGTAAATTATCTGAATGAATGGGGATCAGGGGTATATACTTTTAATTAATTATACAATATACTTGAAAAATGTACTTCTTTGACTTTTTTTATTTCAGACCTGGTTACCCTGGATTTAACAAAACAATACAATATAGTCTCTGTATAGTACTGTATCCTAATAGTCAACAAACAAACATTCAGTTTAACTATTCACATTGCATGTCTAAATAAGGTTAATTCCCAGTAGGAGATTTACATTTATATATTTACATACAGTGCTTTATTTGCAAATAAAAAGGTGTCCATTATTGCTGTTTTCATTGATGAAGATGGGGGTGGGGAAGCAGAAATAGAGGATTCCTGAGCGAAAGTGGGGGGTTTCGGGAAAGGCCCTCCCCCGGAATTTTTTTTCTAAATTCAAAATGGAGGGAGAAGAGAAGTACTGGAACCCAACTGGGTTATTAAAATTATACAGCTGCTTTTTTTTATAATGGTAAAAACTACCAGAATATATTTGTTCATCCTGGTCTCTTAAAATCTTAGTTCTGAAGGGTCACTATGTGCAGTCATAAAGGACATCTCAAAATCGTAGATTGATTGCCAAAATCATAAGAGTAATCAGAATTGTTATCTTTTTTTTTTTTCTTCAAAAAATGACACCCCACCCCCAATTTTTTAAAGCATCAAATTATATTTCAATGGTTAAGGCAGTGTTTAAATGCAAGAAATATTTTTAATTGATGAAAGAGATTTTTATTTAAATTTAAGAAGTATTACTTCACCCACAATGGCCTTCTGCACACTAATCAATTGGCACAAGAAATAGATTGTCTAAAGTATTGCAAAATTGCCAAAGTTACTACTAGGAGTGTAGTTAACACAGAAAAGCTAGCCCTCCTATTTATAGGATAAACTTACTGAGCATGTTTGACAAGTGTTTCTTTATCTTTTGACAAACCCTCATACCATGTCAAAATATAGTGACGACTTATGAGATCAAGAACTTCTTGCAAGCAGTTGTCTAGACTACGAGAAATTACAACTTTCCTCGGCTGATCAGTGCAAGAAGCCTCAAGATCCTGTAATTAGATATCATATTTTAGCTATTAATGATTACATTCTTATCTAATTGGGCAAAAAATATGCATCTTCCCAAGAGAAGGTGTGTTCATCAGTGGATTCAACATGAAAAACTTATCCAAGGTATGCTGGAGCTGGTTTAGTCTGTGAGTGTGCAGTTAGTTGATGAGGCAAATCCAGTGCAAAAGGAACAAGTTATGTATGGGACATCTCCTGCAGTATAGATTACAAAGGATTCTCAGGATCGCTCGTTGAGCTCTGCAGGATCGTTGATCTCATGCAGCATGAAGCTTTTGTGTGATGATATACCAAAACGTTTACTCCAAAGTGTGAGTATTGATGTTGACCACTTTCAGCGAGACTTTCAATTTATATTTGAAATGAAGCCTTTCATCCCATTCACTAGGTTATGATTTCAAATAGATTAGCATATTTTAAAGAAGAAATCTAAAATTGTTATTGTTTAAGTATTACTTATGTTTAATTAGTTTGGCTAAATGGTCTTGAAAATTGTATAACGTACCTTCATTTTCTTAATTATCATATTTACTGCATACGTTTGCAGCTTCTTAGCTCTCTGCTGTGAGCTGTTGTAGTTCTTTCCAAAAACAAGATTCCACTGCACAGCATAATAAAATCCTACACACGCTAACATTATGTGGGCCAAAATCCAAATGAGCCACCAAAACCATCCAGTGTAAAGTGATGTTGACAAAATGGCAACAACAGCTGCCATTGTGAAGTACTGCAACCCATGCATGTGAACTGCAGTTGGCTAAATATGAAACAGTCTCTGGTTAATTCTAATAATACAATGTTATTAATGACCTAATCACAGATTAGCTTAATATTAATATATCAGATATTTGAGATATCCAAGACATAATCATCAAGTATTGAAGTATATATTAATTTTATTATATTATGTTAGTTGTAAATATGATTATGTCATAATTGATTTTAATTATTAATTTATGACAATTTTGTCCACTGAATGAAGAAAAATGTTGGTTATAGTATTTAGTATTTTAGTTTAGTCAGTTTAGTTGTTACGCGGTGGCATAATTGTTTCTGCAAAATCAATTATTAATTGGAATTATTGGGTCTACAGTCTACAATATTATATATATTATATATTATACCTTTTTTCGGTTGTCCATACCTTAATTTAAGGCTTAAGCTGAATCATGCCAATTTCTGTTTTAAAACACTTTAATATTTTCATTATCTGAACAATCATATACTTGGCAACTTGGGAAGTAGTCGACAGTGGGCGTGAGTGTTTTTTAAATTTGAAATTATCAAAATTGTTGATTCTAGTTCTAGTCTACTAATCAGTTCAGTTTCGGTCTTGGTTTATAACGATGAATGATTAAGTATCTCAAATTTATCAAAGATTCATTACATTTAGAAATACAACTAATACATATGCTCAGAATTGATTTCTCCGATGAAAATAATATTGTTAACTGCATAGTTTACTGTACACTAAGTAAACACAACTCTCCCATTTTATTGTCTGCAATGATCAGTCTAATTACCGAGATCCACCCGAAATTCATAGTGTTTTTTTTTAAAACTACATTTAACTAAACACATAGGCAGTAGAGCACATGCCCAAATAACCACCGAATATGCATAATATGTTAATACAAAGGAAAAAAGTGCCCCCTAGGCCACTGATCCAGATATTAACATCATAACTAATACTGCAGCATAACATTTTAGACAAATTAAACTTAATTCCTTTGATATTCATGATATACAATATAAAGTAAGTAAAATCAACTAAAATGTTTGGAAGTAACCAGACCTGTTTACCCTCAAACTCTTAAAATCGTAAAATATCACAAAATCGTTCAATACACCATCTTAATTTTAAAAATAAAACATACAGTATATTTAAGGTATACACCTCAAGATCGTACATTGTACGCCAAAATCATAAAAGTAAACAGGTCTGAAGTAACTGAATTGAATAGTATTGATAATAGGCAGTGTTTCAGAATTTATTAACTTAAGGGGAGGCATTTTCGGCCAACTGCAGAATATTTTTCATGGAAGGGGATGGCAAAAATCTTGGCTCGCACCGGGCGGTACTGACCCTAGCTATGCCACTCTCTGGAATATAGCCTACATTTAATTGATGTACCGGTACTATGAAATAAAAAGTTAATTTAAAAAATTTTTTTTAAATCTATGCTCTTATATTGTTTTAAAAAATGCCCTTAAAAGGTTGGCCGTATTAGGGGGGGGGGGGGGGGGGGGGTAGAAGAGAGAGTGAGGTTGTCCTCAGCATTTATGCAACAAATTCTGAATTAATTATCCTGAAACTCTTGACAGTATATAGGCCTAAATAGCAAATTCATATCTCTAACTCTAATCAAGCCGTATAACTTATAACATATAAAAATGTTTGAAATGCATGATTTATAATTATTTTCAAAACCTACAAAAATTGTATCGTAACATTTCGTCATTATTGTCATACTCATACTGTTTTATTTTGTTCGCCTACCCCAGATGTCCCTAAAGATTTTCAATTCTCAGTGCCCTTGCCGAATTTAGGTTTTCCCCAGCGAAACAGCAAACAAACAGTTTTTTTGGGTTGGGTAACAATAAATTAAAAAGCACGAAAAAAAACCAGGAAAGCTAGATGTTTCCTATCACATTGGATGTAATGGGGCAATAATATGAAAATTGTGTAATATTTCCCTGCGCCCCTTTGTAGTAAGCAGGAAAAATATCCATGATAATTAACTATGAACAACTTTTTTTCAAGTAAACACAAAAAAATGTTAAAAATGTTTCACGTATTGATTAAAAAAGTCGTCGGATTAAATCTGAATTCTGTGATTGCCATTAAAAGGTCAAACTATTTTATGATCTGGAAAAGAGTATAGCTTGTAGGCCTATTACTAGTCTAGTAACTCAAAATTTAGTTTTTTAATTTGCTTTATACAAGTTTTAATATTCACTTGATATGATGTCCTAAAACAAATCTACCCAGCGCCACTAACACACAACATAGTGTAGCTTAAACTAACTTATGGTCTAATAATAATAAATTTCTAATAATAATAATAAATAACAAGTACTTTTTGTTATTGTGATCAGTTTATAAAGAGCCCCTGAGTCACAGAGTAAGTCAAATGAGAAACTTTTGTTTCAAATGAGAAACTTTTGTTTCCGAATGTGTGGTATCGGTAGTCTCAAGAGGTCAAAGAATTTTTATTAACACCACAGTCATCTATCTTATATATGAGTGGTGCATCTAGTTAGTGACGTCATCCGCACGTAAAACATATAAAAAGTGAAACAAATTAAATAAAGAGTAAGACGCCATTTTATTTCTGAAACAGCATTTTTTACATGAAGCAATGGAGCTGAAACAATGCACTGCTACATAGATCAGTGAAGTTGAACATGCTGGCCAGTCAAGCAGAAATGTTGATTTTGAGAGGGTGGGGGTTTGTGTTTAAATTCAAGTGTAGTAGAAGTAGAGAAAATTTAGATGTTTTTAAAAGTTACTGTACTAGTAATAGGATTTGGTAGGCCTTTGGGTGAAGACAGATAGAAAGTGCTGGAGTGTCCGTTTAAATGTGTAACTGCGGCCTGATAGTAATATATGTAAACCAAGAGCTGAACTGGAGATGGCACTACAATTACTAATAAAGAACCTATTTATACATATATATATATATCTATATCTGGGGAGATAGAGAGAGGTTGATAGAGAGAGAGGGAGAGAGAGATGTTGAGTTGAAATTAGAATCTTTTTTACACATAAGTACTCTACAAAATTAAATGCAGCTAAAAAGAGTAGATGCAGTTAATTGAATGTTTCTTTCAGTTAAAGGTGAAGCTTAATAAGAAAACTGCACCAAACTGTCAAATGGGTAATAAGTCTTCAAAATAACATGCATATATTACACAGTATATAAAGTGAGAACTCACTTCAGTTTACTTTAAGTCAAGAAATTTGTAAAGTGATAAAAGGTGTCAAAATTGGCTGCCAGCGACCTGAACAAAAGGAGCTGAATATTGCAGAAGATTGTAAATGCATTCCGTCTTGCAACCAACTGGAAGATTTTCAGCCTTTGTCAGTGCATGTCTTTTTAAACAGTGATCCCTTTGGAATTCTATATTCATCTTATTCTTATACATTTCTATTCAACAATGTAGACTTATTTTGTTAAAATTATAACTGGTGTGTTTCCCTAAACTTAAAGTCACAGCCAAATTACATTTAGATACAAGTTCACTTTAGATTGGATATACAGTGGTATCTTGGAATCTGAACGCCCTAGAACTCAAACAACTTGGAATTTGAATGAAAATTTCTAGCACAATTTCGCTCAATATCCAAAGGCTGCTTTAGAATCTGAATGCCCAGGAGCTTCTTTATGTGTTTTTTGCATACATTTTCCCAGCACTATGGCCACCCATGTCCTTTATCATTCAGTTCTTTATCAGAAGATGAAGTGAAGCAATCTGGTGTGGATTTCGTTGCTAATTGTATGCTTTTGTGCCAGATGTTATTTTTTTTTCTATATAAGAACAACTTCGTCATGAGTCCTATAAATTGTAGTGAGAATAACAAGAGTAGAAGGACCACTGTTAGAGCTACAAATGAAGTTAAATAAGATCCTATCCCTAAGCACGAAAGCTGTAAATCTGGCTACTATTTTTGGGAAGCTTAGGTCCACTGTTTGTAAAATTATTTAACCCTTTCGTTACCGATAACGTCGATGCGACGTCACGATCACCCACTTTCAATTACCGGTACCAAGGACGTCACAACAAAAAGGAAAATAACTTTTCTGAAATACCAAGGACGTCATATTTCAATGCTATATATTTCTTTATTCGTTAATCTATAACTATAAAGAAGTTAATAAGCAAATAGGATAGAGCATGAAAAGTACCTAAAATTTCTCCTTCTGTTTTTTTTTTTTGGGGGGGTGGGGGTGTGTGTAAAGTTTTTATTGCTGAGTCAGCAAAAATGGATGCCCAAACCCAGCGGTAATGAAAGGGTTAAAAATATAGAAGCTATCTAAGCAGTGTAGGGTTATGACAGTGACCTGGGGTTACAGCAATGAGCTGGAGTTACGACACTGACCTCTAGGGGAGAAAGAAGAGTATGGAAGAGGTGGGAAAACTCCTCTTAGTTTGGATTAATGAGAAACTTCTGGCTTATGATTTCATTTCTGAGACGATAATTTGTGAGAAAATCAAGGTCCTCCACAATGATTTAGTGAAAGTCATGCCTGAATCTAGTGCTCATAAGGAGTTAAAAGCCAGTAGGGGCTGGTTTGAGAACTTAAAAAAAATGACTGTGATTTATAGTTAGTGGGACCCAGGAATGAATTTATCTAGTTTCTATTACTTTATTTAAAATAGTCTTGGAACTCTAACGAATTGGAACTTGAACTGACTTCTGGAACTGACTAGTTATGATTCCAAGGCCCCAATGTAAGTTTAAATTTAATTTTTTTTCTTCAAGTGACAAACAATAAAATTTGAAAGAGAAATCAAAATAAATCTCAAAATCAATCTCATCTTTTGACATTTCTTTGGCTTTATTTACAAATAATAAAGCTCCATGAATAACAAAACTAATAGTAAAGTGGAAGCTTAAAATCATAAATATAGAGTTTAAAATATTTTTGACTAAGCATACAAAAAGAGTGCATAAATCTGCATATAATAAATATTGCACAGAGAGCATCTTTAAAATCAAATCATTTAGAAAACAAGGTTACTGGTACCGGGGTACTTATCAATGCAAAAGACAATGCAGATTAAGATAAGTCTAACAGTAATTTACAATTCAAATATGTTTGGAAAATCACTCTACATTCCTTACCTAAGATTTACAATTAACAGGTGTTTAAAGTTTAATTTTTCAAGTTGATATAATCTGCTCTGAAATAGGTAGCAATTTCATTTCTAGAACACCTTAAAATCTAAAGAGAGAAAGTTATAAAAAAAATTTAGCACTGATCCTGAACTGCAGCAGTGAACTGCAATTTGTTGGACAGTTCCTCACTCCCAGCTAGGGCAGGATTACCCTTAAAAACCATGGATCGCCTCACAGTGGGGCGTATCTCAGACACATTCTCAACCACATCACCATTCAGACCTTGACACGGGGTGGTGTAGTTATTGGACAATCTAAATGAACGACGTACCGGGGTCACAATGGCAAAGACCGTTTCAGATGTGGATCTGGAATGATATTGTGTAAATAATATGTATAATCTTCTAAGATAACAATAAAAATTAATAGTGGGATCACTAAAAGAATAAAAATCGTTCAATACACCATCTTAATTTTAAAAATAAAACATACAGTATATTTAAGGTATACACTTCAAGATCGTACATTGTACGCCAAAATCATAAAAGTAAACAGGTCTGAAGTAACTGAATTGAATAGTATTGATAATAGGCAGTGATTCAGAATTTATTAACTTAAGGGGAGGCATTTTCGGCCAACTTCAGAATATTTTTCATGGAAGGGGATGGCAAAAATCTTGGCTCGCCCCGGGCGGCACTGACCCTAGCTATGCCACTCTCTGGAATATAGCCTACATTTAATTGATGTACCGGTAGTATGAAATAAAAAGTTAATTTTATAAATTTCACAATAAACTACTAATACTAGGGTCAGAGCAAACTCTGATTACAAAAGAATAAATAGTTGAGATCTTACCTGCGTGAAGGAGTGATACATTTGTATTTTACTGTGCTGCCCTCTTTAGGAGTTTTAGGCCTGGCCACTTTGGCTGAAAGTCGTTTGGATGACTGCACCACTTTGTCAGTTTCATCAAAGTGTAATTCAGAGGAAATGTCCTCTGGTACTTTTAAACTAGGCTCGACATAAGGTTCAATGTACTTAGTTGTCGCAAGTTTCATTTCACTTGCTAAGATATCACATGGCTAGAAAAAAAAATGGACCAAAAAAAAAAAAAGTTATTAAAAAAATCTATGTGATTTTATTTCATTTTATAATTGCATCCATAACTTATTGCTGATTTATACCAGTGTTCACATACCAAAACATTTAAGGGCAGCCAAAGGACAATTTCAATAGCCCAAGGGCCCTAACACACATGCATATAAAATGTCTTCTTATATTTACGAAGTGCAAAATCATCACCTCTGCAGAATGTTGGGCAGTTAACATGCAGCTAGTAAGATTATAGCTTTCACTATGTTTACATGAACAAACCTGGGCATTATTTCTTATAGCTGTTGTGTACACATCTATCACCATCTGAGGGAAGGCTGCAAGCACTTTGGCTTTACAGATATAGAATGGGGCATAGGTGGCTACCTGTGGCAGTTGAGCTTCCATTTCAGAAAGCCAGGAAAGAACATCCTCTAATGGACAGCCCTACAAAAACAAAATGAAGGATGTAAATTTTTTTAAAATCAGTGGCACATTTCATTACAACATATTTTGCCATTAATATTAATTATGAATTGATTCTAGAGTTTTTCTTCTTTTCATCTTTGCAGCTGTCATAAGAATCGGAACCGTCTCTGGTTTTTACAGTAATTACCTTTCGGTATTTCAGTTGGTTTTCATTAGTAAGTACATCAAAAACAACATAACTTTTCATTCTGTATTCATTTATATTTCACCAATTAAACACTCAATATAAATTTAAATATTTTTCATCGGACACACAATCAAAGTGAGTTTCATTTATGAGATATTGTACACATTTCCTCACAAAGAGTGAGAAGAAAAGCATATGGCTTATTCTGTTATTCTGATGAAAAGAGAATAAAATTATTAGAAAAATATTTGCATTAAAAAACACCCCCCAAAAAAAAAAACTTTATAAAAAAAACAAAAAAACTATATTCATTTCATAATGTTAATGTATGTTCCAGCCATCAAAATTTATGGCTAGAACTCTCAAATAGCTTAATATAGCAATATTTAAATGGCTATTGAATTGTCTTGTAGTTTCATGTCTCTTTTTCCCAAACTCCAAAAGTTTTTATCAGGTATTATTATAAAAAGCAAAGCAAAACTTACTGAGTAAAACAAGTTTAAGCATTGATCCAGTAAAATATTAACATTCTCTAATATGTCTTTTTCAGGAGCAGGTAGCAAACAAGAATTTTCTTCAGCAGCTCCATTTTTGGATTCTGACAAAATATGTTCATATTTATTAGACAATACATTTAAAAAAACCATGAGAAGATCAACCTTTTATTGTACAAGCAACCACAAACTTTAATTTATCATATAATTCTAGTCATGCTGTATTGCTTCCAAATAATACTACACATTGCAATATAACATACATATTATTATTATTTGGCATATATGCCTTGTTTAATTTGAATTTTAACATGTAAAAAATGCAGCCAAATAATCCGATCAACAAATATTCTAGTCATATAAATGGGGACAGAAATAAATCAGTGTTGCAGGTTGAATACCAGTATTTTAAATATAAATTTTACTTCAAAACTCCTGATATTTCAATGCAAGCTTTCAACTTTAAGAGAGCCTTAGAAAGCTTGTAGATGTTATGAAAAACAAATACCTTGGGGAGCCTCTGACTTCACTGTGTCCATTAATTCATATGTGCTATTGAGGCGGTCATTTTCTTTGTCCTCATCTGTAGTTACATGTTCCCTAACAGGTGGTTCTCCAAAAAGATTTTTCCTAGCAACTTCTTTCTGAGAATTTCCGCCCTAGAAAGAATAAAACTATAACAAATAAACTTTGACATAAAAGACAGATCCCTCCCCCACATAAATCTTTAAAGCTTTTTATTTCTAATATGAGTAGAAAGCCTTAAAAATAATAAAAATGATAAATGATAGAACATAAACTTATCTCAATAAATATAAAAATGTGTACTACACAGGGATTCACAGGGGGAACCAGAAGTGTTTGGACAGAACGAGATAAAAATCAAGGAAGTACTATACGAGATCCCAATTGAGGCCAATAAACACATATAATTTATAAATAATGGATAGAGTAATGAGTTCCTTGAGAAATACTTTGTTTAAGTACTAAGAGACTACTTTCAGGAAGAAAATTCCTTTAACTTAACTTACATTGCATTACTAAAATGTTTGAAAAGATGTTAGCACACTTAACTAAAAGAAAAATGAGCATTTATCAATTAACAACGGACTAATTGTGAAATATTATAAGAGTTTGTATGGTACATTTTTCTATTGAAGTTTGTGGATGAAAAATATTTAGTTATACTGCTTTGACTAAGGCATTTTAATCTTATTTTAGACATTGCTGTGAACTTTATAAAATTAAAATACTTTTGAGGATACAATGTGCGACAGAGAGGCAAGACATGATACATATTTTTGGGTTGGGATAATTGGCTGGCAAATTCATTTCAGTTAGCTCTGAGCTAGGGATAAACCTAAAAAAAATTCAAACTTTCAACCTTTTGTTTATGAGGCATATCCGTTACCTTTTACCCCAGAAGGGAACTTTGAAGACTACCATTTAAAAAAAATAAATAAATACGATTTTGATCATGGCGGGTCCATAAGTATTGTTGAGCAGAAACAAGAGTGACAATAAAGAAAAGCCCAAATATCCCTCTCTTACCTTCTGCTCTTGTTTAGTTGTAGCATCAAAATGACCTGACGTTCTTTTTTTAGCAGAGACAGTAGCACCAAATCTCATCAAATCTCTGTATTTACTAGGTGTCTTTCCTTTTTGTTTTAACCATTCATTTAGTTTAGCCCTGAAAAAAAAAATGAAAATTTTCTATGAATTTGAGGAATGAATGTACTAAGTTATATATTTTTTATTTTATTTAAAAAAATGGACACAATATATTATTGGTATTTACAACCCTCCACCCCATAAGTTGTTAGCAATGAAGGTGAATCTATCCCATAAAAGTTGTTTTTCAAAATAATGAAGGTAATTTAATCCTTGAGTTTTTAAAATTAAAAAAATACAAGTACATAGTTTCTAAGTATACACTTTACCTTAACTTAGCATATAATAATCGACTTTTCTAATTTTCCACACAACTATGTTTCAATTTTTCTCTAAACAACAAATCTTCCAAAATACCAATGACAAAGTCAATATGCACCAAAGAAAATTACCTGAGGCTAGCTTGATCTGTTGCTCTATTAAATTGTACGTGGCGCTTCACTTCACTCTAGAGAAATATAAATATAATGGATCCTAAAATTAGTCGTAGCAATATGAAAAACCTTCAAATATATTTTTATGGCCACACTATGACCACACTAAGAATGATACTGAAAAAAAAAAAACAAATCTGAAATTTAGTAATTTCTTCCAATTTACAGAAAATTTCCTTGAAGCTATTTATAATGAAATATTTTTTTTTTTTACATTCGACTAAAATTATAATTAAGATAATTAAACTTGTTATCAATGTATTTATAATTTTACATACATCTGAATTCAAAGTTGAAGTTTGAATCCTTAATAATAACTACAAATCTTTTATTTTTGTGCTTGATAGATATAAAGCATTAAAAAATCTTTCAGACTTAAAATAAATCTGACTAAATATCAACCAGCTACAAATTTAAAGTAAAGGCTACCTTTAATTCATTTTTCTTGAGAATGCTCTTGGGTGAGATTTTAACTGTTGAATAACAAAATGTAAGCATCTAAAAAGAAATCAGAATCAAGGAGACATTGTAGGAATACATCCTTTAATAAGTACATTTTCATTTCAAACATTATTGTCTCTTTTGACCCATAAACAATTTCTTTAATGATTTCTTTAAAGAGTATTCAATTAATAAAATGTGACTTTAGAATCCCAAATACCAATAGTATTGGAATTAATTATTTCTTTTTTTGCTGTCAGGTAAATATATTTCTCTGCAATTATTAAATCCTGAAATGGCTTTGATTTATAGTCAAAATATTAAAATCTTTTATGGTGTCAGGAGTTCATAACCTTTGAAAACATTCAGTTTCTTGTATTAATTTTTCAATCTGGCCAGTTTAAGCCTTCTAGTTCTAGCAAAATATCTTTGTAACTTCTACTGTCATATGTAAATTAAAGTGAAACTTTAATTATTATCAGGCCAGAAAATAATTTTTTTTTACTTGATGTAGTCTGGATTAATTAATTTAAGAATCCCATGCAAAAGTCTGTTTTAAGTTCACACTATGTTAAATAGGTTTGATTTGTCATCGTTAAGTCTATTTTTACTATAAGTTTTTTTTATATAGCATTGAATAAGACAATGATTTATCATTTTACATTACGGAGAGGAAATGTAAACAAAATGTTGTAGACAATATTAATGTCAAATGGTATTTCAGCCCATAATAGCTTGAAAAGAGCACAGAAAAAATAAATAGTAAAGTTTTCAAAACACACTCAGCCAGTTGCTAAATATGATGTTTAAAACTATTGTTGATATAATTTAGCATGACAGGTTGACTCCACCACACCTTTCAGGAACTTCCTGGCTTCCTTACCAACAAAAATGCACTTGAGTTTATAACATGTATGTATATAATGCAATGAATTCAGATGAAAAAAAAATGTCAGCAATTAATATGGATGTCAAATTAAAGGATTTCTGAGAGAGGAAAAAAAAAGGGTTATTTTTTAATTTACTATGTAGCTAACATTTTAAAATCGAACAATTTTAAAATAAATGTTCTCAAATGTCATTATTCTGTAAAAATATAAAATGATAAAAAAATTAAAAATTTTGCAGTTGAATCTTAGAAGTAACCTTACTATTGCTAGAGATACAGCTCCCAGTAAAAGATTTTCTACAGCTTGCATTTGTAAGAGAACCAGCATATTTTGTTTTTAATGCAAGATTCTGCTTATCCTTCTTGACAGAGCAGGCACTGCATCTTGCATGTGGAGCAGCTCCAACGTCAGGACTATTTTTACATTTAGTGATGCCTGTCAGTGGCAACTGTTCATTTTTTTTACTCCTTACAGTTCCAGGCTTGTGACACTTATTTGTTGGGACTTTTGACTTTGTAACAGCAGGTTGAGCAGGAAATAATCCTGTTCTTGATGCCATGATTCAACTATCTGCAGTAAAAGCCTGAAAAAAATTAAATCACAAATTATGGGCATTATAAAAATGTAAGGCATAAGGTTCAGCAATAATAACTAATATAATTCATTAGCCTAACAATATGTCTTATGGCATGATGGGGACAAATAGTTTTTTTAGCTGCATTTGATTTATCCATCTTGATTCCTGAAACTGATGTGAATGTGACATGCATTTTTTTGACTCCTTGGTCTTAAAAATTTTTAGCGACTGCAGCAGAATACTTCCAAATAGGTATAAGTATAAGATCTATATGACTATAAGTATAAGTAATATTATATTTTATAATCAGATAGGCCTAATAATTAGACAAAATTTAAAACTAAATAAATATATATAATATAGTAAATAGAAGCTTAAAAAAAATTAGTACCTATCACAGACCTGTTTAAAACTGTTTAATCTTACGTTTTGACGCACAATTTACGATTTAGAGGTGTATACATCATTATATTTACTGTAAAAGTATGTTTACATTATTTACTATTAACTATTAAGATAACATATTGAAAGATTTTGTAATGACGAGTAATGATATTGTAATTATTGTACGATTTTAAGAGTTAGAGGGTTAACGGGTCGCTATCATGTGATTTGTAATTAGTAAGTAAGCCTAAGGTAGGCCTATTCAGTGTGTGTGAGTGTAATTTTCCAATTGAAATTTCAAATTGCAAGTAAACTTTTGTGACAATATATGCTATTTGTAATTTCTGCTGCACTTTCGCTATAATATTCTTCTTCAGACTTCAGACAATGACTAGTTACTAGTACTCAACTAGTACTAGTAGGCTAGTAAGCCTATGGCCTATAGTATAGTTATAGTTACTTAAGTTAGATATATTTCTTTTTTCAATTTCAAATTAGGCTCAGCAGTAGTTCCAGTATTAACTAAGTAGGCCCCTAACTTGAAATTTAATAATTTATGGTCATCCGTGAGAGGCTTTGACATCACAGTGGGCGGCTTTGGTGTCAAAATAATCAAAATAGGCTACTTTAATTTACTTTAAATTTAAACTTGGGTAACTGGAGTAAGTTTGAAGCTCGCTTTGGTTTTATTTTACCGGTGACATATAGAAGTACTTAAGCAAGGAGAACAATAAATCTTTAGTTCCTCTAAAAAAAGCGTTTTATAGTTTGAATTTTAGCAAACAAATGTTTACTTACTTAGCTTAAACAAGAAAAATTGCAGTTGCCAATAATAACAACAAAAGTATAACGACTACGAATTGAACTGCATTGAAATAATATCGATACCAAGTGGGTTTCTTGTAGTTGTTACAGTAATAATAATATAAAACATGTAAGAGGCTGAAGTTTTATTAATATTTAAGAAAAATTGAAGCATACGAGCCAATTTTCAATACAAATGTTGAATTCTAAATTAATTTTATCAATGATTAATAATGAAGTTTGGATTCCACTGACTATGCCTTATCACTGAATATCATTCAATATTTTTAATGTTTACCTTCTTTCTTAGCCAAACGAAGGCTGCACTTTTAATCTTCAATAATATTTTAAGTAATTGGAAGCGAAATGGTAGTGAAAATTAAAAAGTAAAATAATAATAATAATAATTGAAAAATTAAATGTTTCAATTTAAAAAAATAAATAAATGTTATCGATACTAAAAGGAGAAATATGCCAAGCGATTTAACCTGGCGGGTTTCATGTTTTCAAAAGCAATTGTGTACTTACGTCACCGTTATGACAGATTTCTGAAAATCTTCTGTACACGACCGCACCATTTTGAGAAAAAACGAATACGAATACAACACTTCATGCAGACACGTCATTTGAACGTATTTTGAACTTTTATCCACTATTTATTGCTAATAAAAAGAATAATGGCTAATGTAGGCCTATATTTTGGAATGCGTTCAAGCCACGTGAAGAAAATAGTGCAGCAAGATATGTTTAGGCTTGAAATGAAACGAAATTATAATGATTATGTGGTGCCCATGTTTTATGTTTGAACAACTTAATTCTCATCTCTGTCATAGAGTGCTTTCGTTTCAAGCACAGAGCGTTTTCGTTTCCAAAACTGAGATTTTCAAACACAAACAAATTTTGAAATGTATTTATAATTTTTTGTTGTTTCTTATTTTATTACCTTATCTGCTGAAGAAACGTCCTTTTGATTGTCCTCTCCTTTCATTTCAAGCCTAAATATTTTGTAATATTTCCTAATAAAGAGAAACAATTAACATGATGCATGTTCGTTGCATATTACTATTTTTATTTATGTTTGTTTATTTTAATTTTAAAGATTTTTATACTCGCAAATTCATGGGGTTCGTCAGTTTGTAGCATAATTTTCTGCACTCACATGTGACACTCTCGTTCGGTCGATTCATTCCTTCTCATGCTGACCTGTAAGGTTGCTGCTGAGTTAATGACTCATCTCCGGTATGCTGAACGAGGGAATGAGGTGGGGCGGTGAATGATGGGGAAATAAGAACAGTTCAATAAAAAAAAAAAATCTCTTCGCTTCGCTTACAATAACCATCGGCCCCAGCTGTAGGATTTTGTGATAGGACATGGGAAGGGTTTGGGGCAAGGCATTTCGGAAAGTAGACGTTTATTAACTGACGGCAAACAATCGTTAAATGCTACTCTTTAATTTTATGTATGGTAAAAGAGCTAGCCGGAGTTTTGTAAGCATTCCTTGTTTAAACTTTAAAAAAAAAAAAATATTATGAAAACCCTTATTTTTGTGGATAATGTACAGATTTAAATGTTTATTTTAAAAAGTAAAAACATAAATTATATGATAGAAAAACTTTTTAAAAATCACTTCCTTTAAAAGTCCAGTTTAAACGCATAAAAAGTTAGATTTTTTTTCTTCTTAACGCAAATAAAGTCTATTTTGTAAAAAAATAAAAAGATAAGTATAATACATTTTATTATACATATAATTGGAATCCTTTGGCTTCATAGAGTGCATTACCACCCTTCATAAAATATTATTTATTTTTTTGTTTAATTAATTTTAATAGAGTTATTTTTTACTTTTTAGTGTGCGGTTGAACTAGACTAGTCTTCAAAAGTAAGAGTTTTTTTTAATGAAGTTTCAAAAATATTTTTTAAAATTAAAAGTCAAGTAGTTCTGTTTGCAGGCATGGTGATTGTCGCAGGTTGAGTCAGAATGATGATCATAGGTTGAGTCAGAATGATGATCATAGGTTGAGTCAGAATGATGATCATAGGTTGAGTCAGAATGATGATCATAGGTTGAGTCAGAATGATGATCATAGGTTGAGTCAGAATGATGATCATAGGTTGAGTCAGAATGATGATCATAGGTTGAGTCAGAATGATGATCATAGGTTGAGTCAGAATGATGATCATAGGTTGAGTCAGAATGATGATCATAGGTTGAGTCAGAATGATGATCATAGGTTGAGTCAGAATGATGATCATAGGTTGAGTCAGAATGATGATCATAGGTTGAGTCAGAATGATGATCATAGGTTGAGTCAGAATGATGATCATAGGTTGAGTCAGAATGATGATCATAGGTTGAGTCAGAATGATGATCATAGGTTGAGTCAGAATGATGATCATAGGTTGAGTCAGAATGATGATCATAGGTTGAGTCAGAATGATGATCATAGGTTGAGTCAGAATGATGATCATAGGTTGAGTCAGAATGATGATCATAGGTTGAGTCAGAATGATGATCATAGGTTGAGTCAGAATGATGATCATAGGTTGAGTCAGAATGATGATCATAGGTTGAGTCAGAATGATGATCATAGGTTGAGTCAGAATGATGATCATAGGTTGAGTCAGAATGATGATCATAGGTTGAGTCAGAATGATGATCATAGGTTGAGTCAGAATGATGATCATAGGTTGAGTCAGAATGATGATCATAGGTTGAGTCAGAATGATGATCATAGGTTGAGTCAGAATGATGATCATAGGTTGAGTCAGAATGATTATCATAGGTTGAGTCAGAATGATGATCATAGGTTGAGTCAGAATGAGGATCATAGGTCCAGTCAGAATGATGATCATGCACAATACTTTGAACAAAGGAGACTTATGTATTATTATACAGACCTATAAACGAACAGAAAGTGCAAAGATTCTCTATTTACATGTATAGCAATCAAAGAACAGTTATGAGTTTAAGCGATATTTTATTGTGCTTAATTATTCTTTCAGGGGTACATTTAACTCTCCCTATTCATGTAGCCCACAGGCGTTGACGAATCCAATAAAAACATCCAAACTCAAAATATTTACGGCTATAGGAATGAATTGTCGTCATTTCGATCGTCTTGCTCTCATTAAAAGTGTTGACGAACATTAACCACGATACACACCTTTTATTGACAACACCCAGTCTCTGGGCCAGGGCCGTGAAAAGCGGGAGGGGGGAAAGGGCCATGCACCCGGGCGCTAACACAGGGAGGCACCAAAATTGTGTTAAGATAACACTTTAACACCGCATTAAACGAATCCCAGGCGCATCGCAAAGTCAAAGGGAGCCAAAATAACATTTTTACTGGTCCGCCCCGGGTGCCACCTTTCTCTCTATATTGAGGGCGCCGGCATGGCCTTGCTCGCAGAGGCGTCACTAGGGTTGGTGTCAACGGGTGCGGTAAATTCAGGGCACTACGGCCTTCTTCCAGACCCCCACCCCCTAACCCCAGCCATACTGGCAACGAGTAATTCTTAACCTAATCATACAAAACCGCTTGTGGTGTTGTCTTAAGTCCATAAGCGACAAAAGACGTAAGAAAAAAACATAGGATTTGAAGTGACACCCTTTTAAAACATTGACAACTTTTTTTTTTTTTTTTTTAAATTGGAACATAAAACTTGAAATTTTAAATTTTATTTTTCATGATCTTAAAAGTTGGGAAAATGTCAATGACTTCAACAACTTATCAATTTTAGTTCACAAAATATCAAGAAAAGGAAGTCTAGATTGTTTCATGGTAGTTCGGAAATAGTTCTTTATAGGTTTCAGTTGCGACATGCTCCTCTATCTTTAAGCCGCATACACATTACACACAGATCATGATAAAGAATTGTAAGCGTCATATACGTGAGATGATCCGGAGAGCGTCTAGTTAGTCCCATTCAGCTATGAATTTCAAAGAAATCTTTGGCTTATCGAGATTAATATCTGTTACAGTCGGAAGCATTGGTAGCCATGGTAATTCAATTAAAATTTCAATTAAAAAAAAAAAAAAACACACACAAGAAAAAAAACAAAAAAACAAAACAAAAAAAACTCCTCGGAGAAAGAGGTAAGTTTTGGAACGGACACCAGTAACTCTTCTTTAGTCACCAATAATACACCCTAAGCCTTAACAGCCCCAAAATATCTGCTAGTTCACAATGAAACGATCACAAACTATAGCCCTCTTGTTTTAGTGTTGCAAAGTGAGTCCGGCCTTTACTGAATGGTTCCCAGTAATTTTTCTCTCCCCCCCCCCCTTTCCCCCATATTCTCCCTTTGACCCCTCCTTCAAGTCTGCTTGCTCTAACGATACAATGCCCTAGTGGAATCTTGCATGGTTTGCGCTCTGTTTTATGTGTAATCTGCCCTGGTGGTACCCTTGCTTCTGTGTAGTGAACATATTTTTTTTTGGTGGCCATCTAATATTGTGGCAATATGTTATGGTGGGGGTCTCATTCTAATGGCAGCTTGCTCTGTGACACCCCTGTTGTACTGAACTCTGCTCTGCTATAAAGACCAACTTGAGCAAGCTCTATCATATCTGTACTTTTCCTTTGGTGTCATCTCCCTGTGAGAGTGTTACCCGGTGCTGTACGCCCCCCGCCCCCACTAGTGACGCCAATGCCTGCTGTATGCTGGTAGCAAATCTGACAACACGCCATTTCACCTTGATTTTAGAAGCAGGGAGATAACAGACATTTTCGGTACCAGCTATTCGCAGTGTGAAAATAACGATTTTCGTCACTCAGAAATCTTTGCGCATTCGCTATTGACAGGATCAGCGCTACTTCTAGGATTTTATTTGTAAGAAATGCGTGCCATGGTAAGTTAGAGCATTTGATGGGACGAGCTATTTCTAGGTTAGTAGATTCACAGGTTTCCCTCAATGAATTTCTATTCCTTAAATGAGCATGCACTTTTCTGGCACACTCATATAGCGTAGGTACATATAAATATGTCAAACTGTCATAATTGATAATTTCATCAAACTTAAAAATGATTCCAATTCTTATGTTTGAGCTTATTTCCAATTGGTCTAGAGTTTCTATTTTTCTAGAAACTTATAAAAAATTAAATATTAACAGAGTTTTTCAGAGACGGGGGCCAGAAATATATAAAAAAAAAATTAAATAGGCATTTAAAGACTTATGAGAGAAGAGGCCAGGAATAGCAAACAGACCAACTTCTCACAGTTAAAGAGGGTATCTAGATGATTAAATACTAGTGTCAGGCGTCACCAACTTCAAAAGACGCCAGATTAAAACAAACTTATAAAAGATTGTTTTTTCCCCGTCGTAGGTAAATCAGGGGTAGAACTAGGGTGGTGCAACCGAAACGGGTGCCATCTCAGTAGTGGCACCATCTTAGTAGAGGCACGAAAAGTCCAAGGCACAAACAAAATAAACTCATCCATAGGTACAAACCCGAGATCTTTCACCACGTTAAAAAAAAAAAAGCTTTTAGACCACCCAGCGCGCAAATGTTGTAGATCTAGTTTTTAAAAAAATGCTGGTAAGTATAATTAAACTATTTAGATATTTAATGTCAAGACTTTATGGAAAATGTGTCCGTGTAATGAATGATCCATTTTTTAATGAACTGAAACAGATAATGGTCTATTTATGGATTGTTCTATCAAGCAACATATAAGATACTACACTTAATTTATCCAATTTATTTTAACACCAATGACAGTGTGGGAAAACTGGTTGGAAATGACAAAATAAAAACAGATTTGTAACTTTATTCAATTTTTTATTACTTGGAACTGGTATCTTAAATAACATCAAATACTGTTGTAAAGATATGCATTTAATTTCGTGTGCCCGAATTTCTGATATTTCTACCAAATAGGTCAGAACTGGGTCAGCGGCTGTGATCGGGCGAGTGTAAACTGCCGCTCTACACGGGTCAGCGGCTGTGATCAGGCGAGTGTAAGCTGCAGCTCTACACAGGTCAACAGCTGACTCTGGTAAGTGGCTGTCACGTGGATCTTGACCCCACCCGAAACTTTGACCGGGAGCGATTCTTTTATTTCAACTGTAACTGGTGCCACGTTAAAACTTCCCTGAGAACAGAAAGAATTTGATTATAGTACATTCATAAGTACATATCACACGATACCCTCCCCAAACAAAAAACAAAAAAAAAACAACACCACAAATGATGAAGAAAGGGGAAGGAACTTGAAAAAAGGGGAAGGAACTCCCAAAATTGTAGCAGTTATTCCACTTCCAGTTGTTTTTATTTATGACTCGGTATCCCAAGCCGAGTGAGAAAGTTATCTCTTATTTTATGAACACCCTTATTTTATGTGTCGCTGTTTCGTCAAGCCGTCGCATGAACATCGTCGCTGTTGTAAAAATAAACTCACGATAAAATAAAATATTGCTTGCTTTAATGATGGATGAAAGAGAAAACCGATGCTATTTTGTCACTGAGCTAGTGGGCTTTCACTGAGCCATTACAGTTGGTATCACTGAGCTAGTGGACTGTCACTGAGCCAGCGGGCCGACACCAAGCGAGTGAGCCATCGCTGATCGAGTGAGCCATCACTGAGCCAGTGGGCCGAGCCAGTGGGCATATCATTTAGCCATCAATAAAGTACACCAAACAGCATAAAAACATGGAATGCCGTAATTTAATATATTTTTAGAAACTATTGATAAAATATGTACATAAATTATTGAATGTACTTTAAGTTGCATTCTTCCAAGCAAAAGATAATGAACTACTAATAAGATAGTGAAGATGATTAACGCGTAATAAATAAATCCTATCGGCGTTCAAGGCGGATTGAATCAATGCTTAGAGCTCAGTATCTCATTTCAATTCAATTTATCGGCTACGGATTCTATACTATTTTAAACACACGAAAAAACAGACCCACTTGTATAGAAATTTGTCTTTTTTTTTTCGAACGCTCGTTATCCGAAAATCCGGTTATCCCAACTGCCAATATATTAAAAAAAAAATATGATCGCACACAATGTCCATGGCGTGGGGCATTGTCCATGGCGTGGGGCATTGTTCATGGCGTGGGGCATTGTCCATGGCGTGGGGCATTGTCCATGGCGGGGGGCATTGTCCATGGCGTGGGGCATTGTCCATGGCGTGGGGCATTAGAGTACAAAGAACAAACATCAGAAAACAATGTCGACCCATCTTGACAATCCAGGTAAAAGACGTTCACCGTATTGCTGATGCTGTCACCGACATTAATATCTGCTGAAGCGTTACTGAGCATTTCGCTCTTGAACGGCCGCCAGACTGGGGTAATACGATCTGCCAACTAACACAGTGTATGGCAGACTACACGAATACAAAGACAAGAGTGGCCATGGATTTTATTTCTAGATGACGTCAGTCATCTATTTTTTAGTAGTAAATGTTTTACCAGGAAAAAAACCAAAACCCTCCCATAAAAGTACATAAAACACTGTACAATTAAGTAAGAATAAACTGTACTCTATAGACTATTTCCCATCTTTCGCATGCGTAGATGGCTCAGGCTTCGCCTTGAGTAGTAGTAGCCTTGACTTGAACTGTTGTTTTGTTGTTGTTTAAAGTGAGGGAGAGTTGTTCATTTCGTCAGCCTCACTCTCTCGTATACGATTGATCCAGTGGCAAGACATAGTCAAGACGACTGGAGATAGACCAGGACGCAGTGGATGACCGGCAGAGTTTGTCTCACTGTGCTCTTTGTGCGTTCCACGTCGCAGGAGTTATCGGAAGATTCATTGTGTCAGTGTCGTAGCGCCTACGGGACTCCATCTCCAGTTTTAATTTCAGAGTTGCCTCCCCTTAGACGAGTTTCCCTGCAAGCATTAACGCGTACAATCTATCCGGGGTGCTGCTGTTTTGCTTTGTCTAGGATGATGAGGACTGAACTCCAGTCCACAAGCCTGGGATCGACTCGTTGGACTAACCTCTTGAACACAACCTTTTTGTGGGAGTGTTCAGTTATCCGAAAAAGCTTATCCGAATCATCCCCTGGAGTCTCATTAGTCGTGATTAACGACGCTCTACTGTATGAAAATCCAGATCCTCAAGAAAACGCGAGAGATCCAAGGTAAACGTTGCATTGCAATTATATTTTTACACCATTAATTTAAATAACTACTTTTTATGCGGCATAGTCATAGATGACAGAATGCTTTTTTGGCATAGTCATGGATGCATGCAGAATTATTTACACAGGGGTCAGTCTGCCAGTCACGTCCATGACGACTGTCCGTCAATTTACGGCCGGTTGGCGACTCTGTTTTCCTTGGTTAGTTGTTCATTATAATTCTCGCATGTTCGTCGTCGAAAGGGGTTAAAAGCCCTTATAGAATCTGTCATGTTTAGCTCTAAGAACGCTGATCTCAGACTTGATTGACATTTAGTCTTCAACATTCCTGAAGCTAATTTTTCAATTCGTCCAGACCTTCACAACCGCTCCCCCCCCCCCACGCATTTTTTGGACTTATGAACCCAGCGTCGGTGTACACAGTTGAGGTGCCAGACTGAACCCAGCGTCGGTGTACACAGTTGAGGTGCCAGACTGAACCCAGCGTCGGTGTACACAGTTGAGGTGCCAGACTGAACCCAGCGTCGGTGTACACAGTTGAGGTGCCAGACACATTAACCAATCATCTGGCCTAATTAACCCCCTTCCCCCTTTTCCTAATAAAATTAATATTTTTTAACAAAAGCAACGCATACACACATATAAACTAGCACTTTTATTAAAAATCGAAATACTCATGTATTTATCATGTAAATGTTTATCATGTGAGTATTTGTCATGTAAGTATTTATCATGTATGTATTCATCATTACTTACTAACGGCTAATAATAAATAATCAACTTAAAACTAAAATATTACGATACTAAAAATAAAACTGTCTTATTTCGTTATAGAACAGTTTAAATTTTTAAAAATACTGTAAGTTGACTCACTTCTGGAAAGGGACATTGACAGGACAGACCAATACTGGTAATCTGAGGTGGGCAGTCTTTGATTTCGACCATGGTGCACAGGTCGTTGTATGTACAGGAGCCGACGTTGTCAACACAGGGGACCTTGACCCACACCCCGAACACTTCCTTCTCAATAACAGCAACGGCCTGGAGTAAAGGAAACCGTTTTTATAAAAGATCAAGTGGACTGGTTTGATGTGCACTTAATTGACTTCAATCGAGTAAATAGATTTGTTAAAAATTCAATATCGGGTTACACGATACCAAAACTATAGATATTAAACTTGAACACAAATTGAACGAGAAAATCATTCATTTCAATAATTTAAAAGCATTATTAAAACGATTTATCAAATTTATCATTGACTCGAAAAAGAGGTCAGACAGGTGAAATTTTTTTTCAACGTAAACCGTTATCAAAATATGATTTACGATGTCCTTATACATGTTTGAATTCTCTACGAATGAGAATGAATGAATCGTCAATGAATGAAAATGTACGTGTTTAGGTAACAGATCACCCTGACTTACTTTAATAGGTGAGCCGAAACTTGTCTTGAACACCACCTTCCCAGAGACAGTGATGTTGCCAGGTATTTTGATGGGGTCTGGCGACACCCGGATGTTACTTGGCACGGCTATCTCAGTGTTGGGGTCAGCACAGTTCTTGAATGAGAAGGACTGGACTCGTCCATTGACTTTCTGTTGTGACGATATTTATGAAATGCATTTATTTTTATGTCTGAAAGTTAAGCACGACAAAGCACTTTCGTTTGGATTCAGATAGATCGGTTGGGTCACGGGTAAATGGTCTTCGAAAAATGGGATTTGGTGAGATGGGATTTGGTGAGATGGGATTTGGTGAGATGGGATTTGGTGAGATGGGATTTGGTGGGATGGGATTTGGTGAGATTGGATTTGGTGAGATGGGATTTGGTGAGATGGGATTTGGTGAGATGGGATTTGGTGAGATGGGATTTGGTGAGATGGGATTTGGTGAGATGGGATTTGGTGAGATGGGTTTTGGTGAGATGGGACTCGGAGAGAGGATTTTCTGGGTGATGCGTTTCAATGAGATGAAAGTCAGATGTGTTTTGGTGAGATGAGAGTCAGGCAGATGTGTTTTGGTGAGATGAGAGTCAGGCAGATGTGTTTTAGTGAGATGAGACCCTTTAATACAGTTCCTGATGTTGTGACCCCCAACCAATGTTCTCTTTAAGCTGCACGGCTGCACGGCACGGCTGTGCAGCTATCTCACAGACGCCGCGCAGCAGTTTTGAGTACCGCGCAGCAAATTTCCATGTAAGTGAGTGTTTGTGGGCTGTACAATTTTCCACACAAAAAAATTGATGCTGTAAAACTTTGTACACAAATGTATGATTTTGCACACGAACCAACAAACCTTAGAGGGAACATTGCCCCCAACCATAAAATTATTTTCGTTGCTACTTGATAAATATGTTTTCCGATGATCTTACGCGACCCCCGTGAGGGAGTCGTTCGACCCTCAAAACGGTTGTGACTCGCAGGTTGAGAACCGCTGTCTTAGAGTGACAGTCAAATAATCATACGGTTGGTGCGAACGTCTCAACGACTTCGCCATTTAACCGTGACCATTTTCAATGAATTAAGTTGGGCAGCATTGCCTAAATATAGCAACAAACCATGTTTACTTGTAGCATAGCACGATTGTACAATTGTTTGAGCTCTACTCTAACCGAGGGCGCCGCGGGTCTACACGTGAACTTTCATAAGTTAAGAAAAAAAGGTGTATGTGTGTGGGAAGTGGGGGCTGCTAAAGATTAACTTGTATCCCATTTGAGGGTCGGATGGGTACGTATATGTCCCTTCGTATATCTGAGTTTGTTCTAAGGTCACGGAGTAACGTTTGTTCTAAGGTCACGGAGTTACGTTTGTTCAAAGGTTATGATATTTTGCCCCAGCTTCAGTAATCTGCCCCTGTTTCGAAGATCTGCCCCTGTTTTGAATGCTCTGTCCCTGTTTCGATGTTCTGCCCCCAGTTTCGATGTTCTGCCCCCAGTTTCGATGTTCTGCCCCCAGTTACGATGTTCTGCCCCCAGTTACGATGTTCTGCCCCCAGGTTCGATGTTCTGCCCCCAGTTTCGATGTTCTGCCCCCAGTTTCGGTGCTCTGCCCCCAGTTTCGGTGCTCTGCCCCGTTACGCTATTCTGCCCCCGTTACGCTATTCTGCCCCAGTTACGCTATTCTGCCCCAGTTACGCTATTCTGCCCCAGTTACGCTATTCTGCCCCAGTTACGCTATTCTGCCCCAGTTACGCTATTCTGCCCCAGTTACGCTGTTCTGCCCCAGTTGCAGTTTGCGCATTATCCCCTGTCAGGCCACCTCTCATGAAATACCTCTTTTGGTTCGCCATTAATGGGCAACTATTAAGTATTCAGTCATTCAAGCAAGAGACGTTAACATGGTGAACTGTACGTTGAAACAAAATTTGTATTGTCTTTCTTATTTTCAATCTTTTTATTCGTAAAAAAAAACCCTGCCGTAACTCCCCCTAGAGACCCATTTTATGACAGATGAATAAAGTGTACCACAAAGGAGTTTAACATGTTTCAAGCACTTCAATTTAAACCTGAGATTTAATCTGTTTTGAGAAGCTCACTTCTCCCAAAAGTCGTAGAAAATTTTGTCAAATTTAATCTTACCCGCTTCGAGTCGAATTCGTCATTCTGTTTATTAAAGCTGAGATGATCCAACAGAGTCTTGAACTCCCTGTGTGCCTGGAGTTCCAACTCACTGATGATGGACAGGGGCTGTGCAGCACCTTGGGTCGCCACGACCACCGACGCCAATATCAAGAGCAGATGTCCCGTCTTCATTGCTGAGATCACAGATTCACCTACAAGTCAGAAATGCAATTTAAATGTTTAGTGAACGCCACCGGTTAACTGACAGAAACACACTGACCACTAACAGACGACACGCCTCATTGGGAGTTTTCAAACGTGTGACCTGAAAATTGTCACCTCGCCAAGTTTTCCGACGTTGAAATCTGGTCCAGATTATTGCACGGTACGGCGCTTACCTGCCGCAGTGTGAAGGCAAACACGAAATAGGCCAAGATGGCGAACTAGTGGGACAGCGGCAACTTAGTGGGACACTCTAAATTGTGCTCTCTGAAATAATACGACACGATCTCGTGTGTGCACGCGATTCTCCGTGCGAGCTAATGTTGCTCACGTGAAAAACGTGTTTTCAGATCTGACTAGAAAACGAAGGGCTTTTCATTTGAATTGTTCATTTGTACGCGCTATGATTAATTTAACCTAATGAGGTATCTGGGACCCCGCCCCTCCCCCCCCCCCCACATCACGTTTTAGAAGATATAAACCCTATCACGTACGACTTAAGCTTAAGAACGGTCGGATAGTTCCACTTAATCTTACTTCAGATCATCTCCAACCTACTCTATACCTCATGTCCGTCATCACGCGATGATAAGCAGTGGCCCCCCTGTTTTACGGTTGTAATGTAAATTATACGCCGATATTTATATACGTCCAAAGGAGTAATTTACAGGTTGGTTATTAGCAAATGTAAGGAGCAGAGGCAGGGCCACAGGAGCAGAAATCTTTGTCACGCTCCAAAAATTCATACATCTTGGGTAGGCGCGAGTGACAATGTGTGACGGTCTCTTAAGAGGGAGTCTAAATTTGTTGACAAATCTGAGACTACGAGAGGAATGTACTTTTTTTTTTAAAAACCTCTGGTGTAGGAACAGGGGGCGGAGGGGGAAATGCACCTTAGGCTGCACATTTTATGGGGGGGGGGGACTTTTTCGTTTCACTTCATATGACCTGTATACCACACATGGCTTTTCTTTCATGTTTTGTCTGTGCGTCTTGTGGTGTTCCTGAGTGATGGGCAGAAAATTCAAGGTCGGGGCGTCATCAACAGTAGCTAAGTCCTTACTTTTGACTCCGCCACTGAAAGTAAGGGATTTAAAAACTGCGTCTATTGGCAGGTGTTCCATAACAAAACAAAAAAAAAAATGAAGTACACCTTATTCAGCCCCGAGGACTCCAGTCATACAGCATTCTCCCAGTTAATGATATGCAAGCCAATATATAGTGCTATTTTAGTATGTAAATTGTTGGTTTATCCAGAGCGATTTAATATGGTAATTTAAAATAGCCGCAAGGAAAAAGACATTTAAAAAGGGGGAAAATTCCCATTGTTATCTTCTTGTTCAATGGTGAAAAAGTTTGCATTGATATTTTAGGGAATCTTAGGGAAGATGCGGATGCTTTTACTGTCTATGCACTCTTTTAGGTGCTCTTTTAGCACTGGATCATATTTAGATAGCATCTCAACCATTTCAAGAAAGTTTCCTTTATTCAGTGAAGATTCATCTTCGTTGTGGCCACGAAATGCCAGATTTTGCTTTACAAGATACAATGTGATATCCAGCAACCTGAGCAGGATTTCCCTCCACTTTTTCTTCTCCCTGTTTATCACAGCAATCCTCTCGGCATCAATTGTTTCCCTAGTCCTGCTGCCAATGCCACTTTTCAAGGCAACATAGATGCTCTTCCGATGGTTCATGATTTTGTAATTTTGGGCTCAGTTTCCACCACTCATCAAAGCCAGTGACAAATGTGGATGTTGTTTCTGTAAAATTAACAGCAAACAATCTGCAGCAAAAACAGTACAATGCTTGACTGACGAGTGAATAAACCATCCACGACCGCAATATTTTCTCGCTATTCGGCTTCATCCTGTAGAACTATTTTTTTGTTTGTTGGCGCACAGCTCCTTTAGATTTCGCATCTTGCCTTGTCACTAGGCCGATTAGTCCGTCCTTGTTCTGGAATGAGGAACTCGATATTTTAATAATTTCAGACCGAAAATGATTTTGAACTGGTACATTCCAGAGAGAAGCATCTGATAAAATGTGCCAGTTTTGGTCATTAACCATTACATTTACAGTATCTAGATTTGAATAAACACCATCAGCAGACATTTCTGTTTCCAAACCTTCCATCTCTTTTTACTTGTATGTTCACGTCAATCTTTTTCATTGGCTCCACTATTTGCTGTATAGAATGCATGCTGCTGGTATCGATGGAATCAGTATGAATAGTGGTCCAAGGAACGTCTTTTGATGAACCCTGACCCTGGTCACCATTTGGTTTCTTGACATATTGAAGCGTGGATTCTGTTAGTGATTTTAGTGAATCACTAATTTTCTTGTTTGCTTTTTCGCTACTGACAGCCACTTGGCTGTTAAGATTTGTGCACGCCGTGTATGATATGATGATCTTGAACGATAAAAGTGCTATAATTTTGTCGTTTTCAAGAGAACAAACAAAATAATTACTACAGTTCAAAAAACAACAGTAGTCAGAGTACTATGCAAAATACAACACAGAAAGGTGGCAGGTAAACCCTGAAGTCGAAATATGGCAATCTTGATCAAATGTTAAGGGGCGGTACTAGTGACGAATTGGGGAAAATATTAATTTTTGAGTATTTCTGGATTTCAATGTATTACATTATATATGTCTTCCCATTTTATTTTCTTAAATTTAAATAAATAAGAATTAATCATTAAAAGAATTAAAATTGTGTAAAATAATATTTTTTTTAACCCTATATATGGGTAAAAATTGATTTTAAATGTTTTTAATTTTTACCGATTCTATTCTTGTACTTTGAATCGCCCGACCACATCATATTTAGTATCAATGGAAAGCCTTATTGCTCAGAATTTAGATAAATATAGCTTTCTGTCACTTACGGAATTTACCGAACACTTCAATCGGCGTTGAATAATGACCGTGTTTTTCTGACCTAATCATAAGGTCAACTCATTTCTGACGCATCAACCTTGAACTTAAAAGAAAGCACGCATTTGGATTGGTTACATTTGTGAAACAAAATGTACGTGTGATCGGTTATCCTTTTATGCATCTGGCTCAGACCGAGCAGTGTGTGCTCTGTCAGACCGAGCGATGTGTGCTCCGTTAGACCGAGCGGTGTGTGCTCCGTTAGACCGAGTGGTGTGTGCTCCGTTAGACCGAGTGGTGTGTGCTCCGTTAGACCGAGTGGTGTGTGCTCCGTTAGACCGAGCATGGTGTGCTCTGTCAGACCGAGCAGTGTGTGCTCTGTCAGACCGAGCAGTGTGTGCTCTTTAAATATGCAATTATTCAATTGTGTGTCATCCTTAAAATGGTGTCACCCGGTGCGGTCCACACCCCTTGCACCCCTCTGGCTACGCTACTGTCTACAGCTACATAGGTGGATGATTTGAGTATATCCAAACTACTCATCATAAAATAATGGGAAGCATGTGTGCGTTTTTTGTCATTTGAATCACGCCACATGTAATTATATTCTAAAAATAGAGGTTACATATACAAGCTTGCTTAATTTATCAAGGTCTCTGTTAGACAGAGTTATTTAATATTTGCTAATCAAAATAATTTATCTGTCTGAAAAAACGGCAAAAATGTGGGTTAAATAATTATGGAATAGCTTATTGTACTAAACAAAATATTTTGAATGCAAAGAATTTGTTTATACCACAAGAGATTTGTGCCAATAAATAAAGAAATGTCAGTAGATTGAAGCGGTCATAGGAAAAAAATGTGGTCATAGAATTAAGTGGTCATAGCTTAAAGCGGTCTTGATTAAAGTGGTCATAGATTAAAGTGGTCATAGATTAAAGTGGTCATAGATAAAAGTGGTCATAGATTAAAGTGTTCATAGATTAAAGTGGTCATAGATTAAAGTGGTCATAGATTAAAGTGGTCATAGATTAAAGTGGTCATAGATTAAAGTGGTCATAGATTAAAGTGGTCATAGATTAAAGTGGTCATAGATTAAAGTGGTCATAGATTAAAGTGTTCATAGATTAAAGTCGTCATAGATTAAAGTGGTCATAGATTAAAGTGGTCATAGATTAAAGTGGTCATAGATTAAAGTGGTCATAGATTAAAGTGTTCATAGATTAAAGTGGTGATAGATTAAAGTGGTGATAGATTAAAGTGGTCATAGATTAAAGTGGCAATAGATTAAAGTGGTCATAGATTAAAGTGGTCATAGATTAAAGTGGTCATAGATTAGAGTGGTCATAGATTAAAGTGTTCATAGATTAAAGTGGTCATAGATTAAAGTCGTCATAGATTAAAGTGGTCATAGATTGAAGTGGTCATAGATTAAAGTGGTCATAGATTAAAGTGGTCATAGATTGTTCATAGATTAAAGTGTTCATAGATTAAAGTGGTCATAGATTAAAGTGGTCATAGATTAAAGTGGTCATAGATTAAAGTGGTCATAGATTAAAGTGGTCATAGATTAAAGTGGTCATAGATTAAAGTGGTCATAGATTAAAGTGGTCATAGATTAAAGTGGTCATAGATTAAAGTGGTCATAGATTGTTCATAGATTAAAGTGGTCATAGATTAAAGTGTTCATAGATTAAAGTGATCATAGATTAAAGTGGTCATAGATTAAAGTGGTCATAGATTAAAGTGGTCATAGATTAAAGTGGTCATAGATTGTTCATAGATTAAAGTGTTCATAGATTAAAGTGGTCATAGATTAAAGTGGTCATAGATTAAAGTGGTCATAGATTGTTCATAGATTAAAGTGTTCATAGATTAAAGTGGTCATAGATTAAAGTGATCATAGATTAAAGTGGTCATAGATTAAAGTGGTCATAGATTAAAGTGGTCATAGATTAAAGTGGTCATAGATTAAAGTGGTCATAGATTAAAGTGGTCATAGATTAAAGTGATCATAGATTAAAGTGGTCATAGATTAAAGTGGTCATAGATTGTTCATAGATTAAAGTGGTCATAGATTAAAGTGTTCATAGATTAAAGTCGTCATAGATTAAAGTGGTCATAGATTAAAGTGGTCATAGATTAAAGTGGTCATAGATTAAAGTGGTCATAGATTAAAGTGACATAGATTAAAGTGTTCATAGATTAAAGTGGTCATAGATTAAAGTGGTCATAGATTAAAGTGGTCATAGATTAAAGTGGTCATAGATTAAAGTGGTCATAGATTAAAGTGGTCATAGATTAAAGTGGCCATAACTGGTCATAGATTCAAGTGGCCATAACTGGTCATAGATTCAAGTGGCCATAACTGGTCATAGATTCAAGTGGCCATAACTGGTCATAGATTCAAGTGGCCATAACTGGTCATAGATTCAAGTGGTCATAGATTAAACTGGTCTCATAGAGAGTAGATAAAATAAGCAAACAACCCAGAAATCTAAACAGATATCAGCTAAAAAACTTAAAATAGATTTATAA